ACATCACAAAATCCTGATGAAAGAAATTAAAGACCCAAGAACGTGGAGGGACATGCCGTGCTGGAGGGTCTGAGACTCAATTTTCCTAAAGTGTTAATTCTCCCCAAATTAATCTACAGATCAATGTAATCTCAATTATCTTGGAAATTGAGAAGCAGATCAAAAATGTAAATGACAATTCAAAGGACCTAAAATAGCAGAACAAGTTAGGAAAAGGACAAAGCTGATGAGCCCAGAGGACTGATTCAAGACTTACTGCGAACATACAGGAACTGAGACAGTGTGATATTGGTGTGAGGAAAGGAGTGCACATTAGGGGAACAGAACACAGAAGCCACAGGCAGACCCATGCATGTAAAGTCAACTGATTCTCAAAAGATGTTACGGAAATTCAACTGGACATCTATAAGGAGAAAAACAAACCTTGTTATTTGTAAAATATACTTGAAATAGATCTAAATATAAGAACTAAAAACAAAAACTTTCTAGAAGAAAAAAACAGAAGATCCTCACAACCCTGCGGTAGGAAAAGAATTCTTAGATATGACACCAAAAATACAAACTATAAAAAAAGTTTTTATAAATTGGAGTTCATCAAAATTAAAAACTTCTGCTCTTCAAAAGACACTAGTAAGAAAATGAAAAGACAAGCCACAGGCTAGAAGAAAATATCTGTAAATACACATCTGATAAAGGGCTTGTATCCAGAATACAGTTTGAAAACTTTGAAAATCTCAACAAGAGAGCCCAATTAAAAGGGCAAAGATGTGAACAATTTACCAAAGGAGAGGTATAGATGGTAAGTCAGCACATGAAAAGATGCCCAAGTAATTCTTCATTATGAAAAAACAGTAAGAACTACAGTAAGACACTACACACATGTTAGAATGGCAAAATGAACTGGAAATAAAGGAAGATGGCACAAGTGCTGGACAGAACTGGAGACGGCGCATTAGGAAAGCAGAGTCAGTTTCTAACAGAGGGAAGCACTGCAGGGCATAAAAATCTTTCTCCTCCTACTCTTTCAGGTCCTCTGGCCTCTGTAATGAAAGAAAAATTAACAAGGGGAAACAGACAGGGTTATTAACATGTATCTCAGATACATGAGGGGAAGCCTGGCGCTGAGTCACTCCAGGAGGCAGCAGCAACTCAGAGCATCTCCACCTAAAACAACAGTCTCGGATTTTCAGAGGAGTGAGGACGCAGAGGAAGAGCTTCAGGGAACGAGAGGTCCAGAGGGCGCGCGACGTGGGGTCCTCGGGGGTCGCCTCCAGGCTGATCAGGGTCGAGAGTTGTCCCGGGTTGCAGGACAGAGAGATTTCCATGTGTCCGCTTCTTCTCAACTGCCTTCAGCTCAAACAATTCCTTATACCAAAATGGCCTATTAGAGATGGCAAATTCTGCTGTCTTCTAAAGCCTACAGAATGCCCCAGCAATCTCACTTCTAGGTATTTTCTAAGAGAAATAAAACCATTTGTCAACACAAACACCTAAACAAGAAAATTGAGGGCAGCTTTGTTTACGTCACAAAAACCGGGATGCAACCCCACCCCCATCTGGTGATGAGTGGGCAGAAGCAGACTTCCCTGCGACGGGCACAGTGCACAGACTGCAGCTCAATAAACCAGCCTGCAGACAAGGGGCCCAAGGACTCACAGCAAGCCCCCGCCTTTCAGAGAAACTGCAGGACGCCCCTCCCATCCTGACAAAAGTGGGGGACAGTGGGAGGAGCCCGGCCCAGCACGGCCAGCCCCACCAGCCACCCTCCCAGAGCCGGCGGCCCTGACCACACTGGCACGAGCATCTCTGCAGCCTCCCTGGGCACCCGGGACCCGGCCTGTGGGGGGGCCCACATGGGGGCCGCACGGGCAGAACCGGGCGCCGTGCCATCAGATCACACGGCAGACGTGAGAAGCCGGTGACACTGTGCTTGTTTCTGTGACACAAATTTATACCCTAGAATGTGGTTTCTCATCCTGGTAACAACATAATTGCTAGTCATAACTTTAAATTACCCCTGGAGATCAGACAGCCTCTTATTTTTATGGCTGTGAGAACAATTTTGAAAACTCTAAATCTGGTTGCACCCTGACACATCCCAATTTTAAAGCCACCAGGAATTGCTAAACCATAATTTTGCTAGTTATCTTTAAAAATAGCAGGTGCCTTAAACAGAATGATTAATAAACATCTTTGTTGTTCAACTCGCTCAGTCATGTCCAACTCTTTGTGATCACATGGACTGCAGCACGCCAGGCTTCTCTGTCCTTCACCGTCTCCTAGAGCTTGCTCAAGCTCATGTCCATCTAGTTGGTGATGCCATCCAACCATCTCGTCCTCTGTTGTCCCTTTCTCCTCCTGCCTTCAATCTTTCCCAGCATCAGGGTCTTTCCCAATGAGTCAATTCTTCACATCAGGTGACCAAAGTATTGGAGTTTCCGCTTCAGCATCAGTCCTTCCAATGAACATTCAGAACTGATTTCCTTTAGGATGGACTGGCTGGATCTCCTTGCAGTCCAAGGGCCTCTCAAGAGTCTTCTCCAGCACCACAGTTCAAAAGCATCAATTCTCTGGTGCTCAGCCTTCTTTATGGTCCAACTCTCACATCCATACATGACTACTGGAAAATCCATAGCTTTGACTAGCTAGAACTTTGTTGGCAAAGTAATGTCTCTGCTTTTTAATATGCTGTCTAGATTGGCCATAGGTTTTCTTCCAAGGAGCAAGTGTCTTTTAATTTCATGGCTACAGTCACCATCTGCAGTGATTTTGGACCCCAAGAAAATAGTCTGTCACTGTTTCCATTGTTTCCCCATCTATTTGCAATGAAGTGATGCCATGATCTTTGTTTTTTGAATTTGCTGAGTTTTAAGCCAGCTTTTTCACCCTCCTCTTTCACTTTCATCAAGAGGCTCTCTGGTCTCTCTTTGCTTTCTGAAATAAGGGTGTGTTACTGCATACCTGAGGTTACTGATGTTTCTCCCACCAAACTTGATTCCAGATTGTGCTTCATCCAGCCTGGCATTTTGCTCCATCAGGTAACACGTCACATTCCAAACCCACTGCTCTGTTCGCTTTCCTCCTTGAACAAACCCTGGTGTGTCCAGCATCAGCTGGACAGAGACACCCCCGTCACTGCGCAGGGAGCCCAAGGCCACGGGAAGTGAGGTCCGGTGGACACAAAAGAGCCGCTCCAACAGTGACAGTGAACATAGCATGCACCGAGGGGCAGCCTCTTGCTGACCAGGGTCTTGGCCAATGGTGGTGGCCACACGGGCACTGGGGAAGGGCCTGAGGTGGGCTCCAGGTCGGGAGGCACCAGACAAGGGCACCTCTCAGTAGAGGCTGGAGCCCATGTCTGGCCTCGAGGAGGAACCACCAGGGCTTGACAGCTGCTAAGGGTTCGTTCGGGCACCATCCTGAGGGCAAAGGTGGCCAGGCCTACAGAGTGAGTGGCATGAAAGTGCCCCCCGCCTCCCCCACATGGAAAACCTTCCGGATCGAGAGTGAAAGGTCCTGCTGGAAGCCCAACCACAGCTCCATCTTAAACAAGGCAAGTTATGAATTGCCTGAGTTCCTGTGTGATCCAGGCCATGCACTTGTCGAACAGACGCTGGTGACCTCAACTTAAAACTCAGCAGTTTCCAAGAATGCTACTTGCTGTCCAGACCCAGTAACCAGCATCTGCATCTTGACAGGTGTGGGAACCTCTGATCCATGTGCTGGGAACTCTGCTAGACGCTTCCTCAAAGGACCTCAGCGCCAGCACTGCCTTCAGACTTTTTCTGAGGGCTGCTGGCCTGGACACAAACACCCTTGACCAGTCACGTGTGGGTGGTAAGTGGAGTGAGCCAGATGCCCCAGGAGTGGGTGGGAGACTGCAGGGTCAGGGGCTGTCAGAGTCAACCGCTCTGCCCCAGAGCAAGCACTGAGACTGCTCCCGCCAGGAGCAGCCAGGCCACCAACGATCAGCTGGATCCCGAGGCTACAGCTGAGCTCGTTTTGGTGGCTTGGGTCTCTGGGGCCAAGGGAACTGATAGGGCTTTCCTGGGACAAAGGTGCACCCACCAAAGGGCAGCTCTGGGCTGCTCCCCATTTAAGGTGGGCCTCACTCTCTCCAGGATGCTGGTGCATCTGGGACTCTTGACACCTCTGAGAGTGCCTGAACATCTTTGAGAGTCCCCAACAACCCCTGAGAGCATTCCAACACCCCTGAGAGCACCCCAACACCCCTGAGAGCACCCAACACCTCTGAGAGCACCCCAACACCCCTGAGAGCACCCAACACCTCTGAGAGCACCCCAACACCCCTGAGAGCACCCAACACCCCTGAGAGCATCCCAACACCCCTGAGAGCATCCCAACACCCCTGAGAGCACTCCAACACCCCTGAGAGCACCTCAATACCTGAGAGCACCCCAACACCCCCTGAGAGCACCACAACACCTCTGAGAGCACCCCAACACCCCTGAGAGCACCCAACACCCCTGAGAGCACCCTAACAGCTGAGAGCACCCCAACACCCCTGAGAGCACCCCAACACCCCTGAGAGCATCCCAACACCCCTGAGAGCACCCAACACCTCTGAGAGCACCCCAACACCCATGAGAGTACCTCAACAACTCTGAGAGCACCTCAACACTTCTGAGAGCACCCCAACACCTTGAGAACAGCCCCCCATAGGTGGGTGCTGGGTGTCAGGGAGAGGCAGGGGCTGGGGTGGCTGGAGGAGCCCTTGGGAAGCATCTGCGGGCAGGTCCAGGGACCCCACTCTAGCCCTGAGGGATGGCTCCGAAGGTGTTTCCATGAGCTCGTGGGGTGTTGCCCCACACCCGCTGATGGCCAGCCGGGGACAGCCAGCAAGGGCAGGTGAGACACTGGTGCAGTTCTCTGGCTCAGATGGGGTATTCAGGAGATGCCCCAGTTCCTCCAGAACAAGTCCCCATTCAGAAGAGGAGGAGAAAATGAAGAATACACCTGGTTGGTTGGTCGGGACCTACCTATGATGGAATCCCTCCGGAAAACGTCTCGATCAAAAATATAAAAGGACAGGTGACGGAAACTCCGCGGAATCTCGCAGTAGAAGTCCTCTCCATAGAAGGGGCTAGACGGAGACAGAGGGACACTGTTAGACTCTGTGAGTCATGTCCCCAGTCCTGGGGGGTACCGGGGCTGGGGGAGACCATCCTGGGGTGTCAGTCCTGGAGGGGACTAGTCCTGGGGGTGTCATTCCTAGGGAATCAGTCCCGGGGTGTCAGTCCTGGAGGGGACCAGTCCTGGGGGTGTCAGCCCTGGGGGTGTCAGTCCTGGGGGACATGAGTTCCTGAGTGTGTCAGTCCTGGAGGGGACCAGCCCTGGGGGCGTCAGTCCTGGGGGTGTCATCCTAGGGGGATCAGTCCTCAGCGGGGAGCACAAGGTTGGGCCATCACGGTCCAGGCCACTCCCTCTTGGTCAAGGGAAAGCCCACAGTGTCTCTTTGTGGGGACAGAGTTGGAAGCATTTTTCCAAGATAAAGGAAGCTGTGGATGGTGGGGAGCAGGGTGAGATTCCCTCATGTGCCTGTCAGACGGTCTCTCCTTTCTGGGGGATCCAGGGGGCCACACAGCTCCAGCCCCCTCTGTTGGCACCTTTGCCCAGGCATCTCTACACACGGGTCATAGAGGCATGGTTGCAGGCTTCTCCAGATAAAGGGAACATGTAGCCCAGGGACCAGTTGGCCTGAACTAAGGCTGTATGACAAGGGTTTAATACCAGCAGCGCCCTGCCCTGAGGTCAGCCAGAGTGCCTTCCTTGCTAATTACAGGGAGAAGTTCAAAAGCAGATTCCCCTTTCCCTGAGCCCAGATGTGCAAACACCTCCCTCTGCCAGCAGTCATTTCCCACTCCCCACCCCCCAACACCATGCCAGGCTGGCACCGCCCCACCCCCACCAGGGCCAGCCTTGAAAAAAGAACTTGGTTTTCCCCTTTCTTGCTGTCCTATGTCCAAACACGGGCATCCGTTTCCCAGGTCTGGGGGAGGGGAGGGCAGGAGCCACGGAATAGAGCGGAGCCTCCCATGAGCCCCAGATGCGCCACAGGGCAGCCCACACAGAGCCTGGGGTCCAGAAGTGGGCTCAGGACCACCCTGCAGCGCAGCGAGAGCCAGAAGCCACACAGGCAGGGCCAGGCCTCCAGAAAGGGCGCCGGCCAGATCAAACAGCTCAGCGTCTGGCTAATAACTGCACGTTGGTTAAGCCATTCCCTAAAACCTGGAGTGAAATTCATTAAGCCAAACACCGTATCCAAGCGTCCACAGGAGACGAGTCAAGAAGGGTGGGGCCAGCATCCACAGGGCCAGTGCTACGGGGGGTGGTCTCACCTCACCCACAGCCGCCCCAGGGCTGGGATGCCCAGCCACCCCGGGCATGATCTTGCTCAGCTCACAGAGGCAGCAGAAACTCCTAGCTTCTTCAGAGTCCCTCTCGCATTTCCTCTAAACGGTTTTAAACTCCTTTAAAATCGCCATGCAGTATGGCCCTCGGCGCTTGTGAGCATGCATTATGACAGCTTCTGTTTGAGGCTCCCAGATCCTCTCCAGAAGCTCAGGTTCCCCCAGTCAGGGGTCACGGCCAGAGCGCAGGGCAGGCCAGCTTCCAGAGAGAAAGCCGCTCCATCCACACAAGGCTGTGGACGGTCAGCCGCATCTCTCTGGCCGCTGCTCACATCTGCATGAGACTGTGGGCAGGGCCCGTGGCCAGGGCAGCTCCTCTCCCCTCCCAGACTGTCTTCCTGCCTGGAAGCCCCTGCTCACGTGGGGTCTACCACCCAGCTCACACCCCACAAGGGGCCCCCCACACCCCCCAGGAAAATCATGTGTCCTCACCAACAAGTCACACATGGATGGCCCTTTTCCCTAAAGCAACTGAAGCCACCAGACCCCCAGAAGCTTCAGAAAGGCCCCGAGGGAAGGAGGGTATCGGGGAGACCCCTGGGGGCGAGGGGTCAGCAGCCTGGGAACCCCTGGGGAAGCCCAGGGGGTCCCATTAACTGACCCCCAGACTGCCTGGCCCGCAGGCCCACAGGGACGGACTGACCCCTCAGAGGGGTGGACGGGGTCCAGCCACGGTCTCTCCTGCAGGGTCCTGGCCTGGTTGGTGCCTGGACACTGTGGTCAGCAGGGCATCTGGGAGCTCAGAGAGAAGTCCCCCATCCTGAGACTCAGGGGCTCAGGGAGGATGGAGAAGGTGCTGGGGGGATGCTCTGAGCTGCAGGCCCGCCCTGGACCAGACAGCCCCCAGGACTACAGGGGGAGGGTCCCCCTAGAGCCCCCCGGGACTGTGGGGGGAGGGTCCCCTCAGAGTCCCCGGGATTGTGGGGAGGGTCCCCCTAGAGCCCCCGGGACTGTGGGGGGTATACCCACTCCAGGTGGTATGGAACATCTGGACCTGAGACCGGCATTGCTGTCAAAAATACTTTAAGCTTTAACCTGAGAAATTAGAGAGAAAAATGTAAGCAAGAAGATGCTATTTGTACAGTCTCATAATGTCAGTTGCTGTTTTCTAGTCAACAACTTGGTTTTCATTAAAAACATCTGAGAAAATGACGTCTTTCCCCTCAAACCACAGACTTCCTCTCCCCTGTCACACCCTAACCCCAAACAGCTTCTCCCTCGGAAGACTGCGGAGGCCTTTCTGGGTCTAGTCACTCCCATCACACAAAGCTCTATTTTCCATGCAATTTGCCTCTCTTGGAAGGAACAGAAGGACCCTCTCAAGTCACTGACCCTCATGCTCCCTCTGGCTGCAAACCGGAAGCTCGCGCCCACCCACTAGGGAACAGCCTTTCATTTGGGAAAGTCCTTGGCAAGAGTGGCCGACCGAGACTCTGTAATTACAGCCCAATCAAAGCCCTAGCTCCTCCTCCCTGCGGTCCAGAAAGCGGTTATTTAAGAAACTTCTAATTACGTAAAAGGACAATACCTACAAACAAAAGAACAAAACACCACCTGTGATCCCACTACTCAGAAATGATAACCACACTGGCCTTTACCTCCTCACACTCCAGGCCATTTTTAGAGCATCCCAAGGTTTAAGCAAAAAGGCCTCTTACTATGAATGCAACTTTGTCACCTGCCTTCCTTGCTTGACAGACACAACCAAACACGGGGCAGGATGTGCCCGCCTTGCACTCGGCAGGGCCCGGGGTCAGGGCTGCAGGCCCACAAGGCCACACAGCCAAGGCCTGGAGGGATGGGGGAGGAGGCACAGCACACCTAACACAGCCGCCCCTGGGGGAGGCGAGGGTGGGAGCAGGAGCCCCTTCCAACCCGCCCTGGGTAGAAGCGGACAGTGTCATCCTCAAAATGATCACTTATGTGGACCAATGGAAATAAAGATCTGCCACTTCGTGGAATACTCCTGCAAAGGACTAGACCAACCCAGCACTGAAGTGAGAGTCGTGCGGTCGTGGCCAACTCTTTGCAACCGCATGGACTACACAGTTCATGGAATTCTCCAGGCCAGAATACTGGAGTGGGGAGCCTTTCCCTTTTCCAAGGGATCTTCCCAACCTAGGGTTCAGACCCGGGTCTCCGACATTGTAGGCAGATTCTTTACCAACTGAGCTATGAGGGAAGACCCTCAAGAGTTCTGTTTTACTGTGTGTGTGTGTGTGTGTGTGTGTGTGTGCCCGTGGCATCAACATGCTCCTTTCACTGGATAAGGTGATGGGTTCCGCCACGGGCAGCCTTCAGCCCCATCTGCCCCAGCCCGGGGACCCCAGGATGCCTCTGCAGGCGCACCATGGCCCCAAGCAGGGAGCCATCCAGCCCCAACCCTGACGGCCCAGGTTCATAGAGCCTCAACATTTAAATGAAAGGTAAAGAAATGATGATTTGTCATTTAAATGATGAAAAAGTATGGCTGTAAGAAGTTAAATGTGAACCAGTCCACTTGCAACATCAGGAAGATGCTACTCTTGGGAGGGCAGAAACTATTCCCGAATCACCTGCTGGAGGTGGCCTGGGATGGACAGAGGCTGGTTTCCCCCGAGGCATCCGACCCTGAGAGTTCCCCAGGACATGTGAGTCCAGGTATCTGTGTTCGCTAAACTTTGCTCGCTGACATTCTGCAAACTCTGCAAGTCTATTTCTATCTATTGCTTCTCTTGGGAAATGCACATGATGCTTTATTCCTGTGTCCTCTGTGCATTTTCTCCTCTGAGCACAAGTTCCCTCGAATGTTATACTGCAGAATCCGGAGAGGTGGGTTGAAGGAGAAGACTGGATTTGCTTTCGACTGGCTCATCATTGCCTCAGCGGGTGTTACAAACCACTAACCCTGGACTGTATTAATATACGTGCGTGGACTGTGGTTTCCAGACCACAGATGTGGTATGGATTCAGGCTACACACTCACAAGAGCCAGCTCTGATTTCAAGCGTTTGGCACCGAGTGGAGGCAGTTTCCCTTGCTAATTTCTTTAATAGAGCAGGTTACTTGCTTTTACCCTTACACTGCAGAATCAAGGTCTGGGGAGACCAGCTTGGCCCCCACCAGTGTGAATAAGATTTTTGCCTCAATGCTAAACACAGTCATATTATAAACCATTTTTTAAACTGAAGTATAGTTAATTGACAACGTGTTAGTTTCAGGTTCACAGCAAAGTGATTCACACACACACATATTCTTTTTCAGATTTTCTTCCATTATAGGCTATTGCAAGATATTGAATATAGTTCTCTGTGCTTACAAGAGGTCTTTGCTGTTTATCTGTTTTACATATAGTGGTATGTATACGTTAATCCCTCTCTGCCCTCCCCTGTCATGCCCTTTGGTAACCATCAGCTTGTTTTCTATCTGTCTATTTCTGGTTTGTAAGTAAGTTCATTTGTATCTTTTTTTTTTAAGATTCCACATGTCTGCAGTACCATATGATATTCATTTTTCTGTCTGACTGACATCACTGAGTGTGACAATCTCTTGGTCCATCCATGTTGCTGCAAATGGCATTCTTTCATTCTTTTTTATGACTGAGTAGTATTTCATTGCGTGTGTGTGTGTGTGTGTGTGTGTGTGTGTGTGTGTACCACACCTTCTTTATTTATCTGTTGATGCACATTTCAGTTGTTTGAATGTTTTTACTATTGTAAGTGCTGCAGTGAGCACTGGCATGCATGCATCTTATTGAACTATGGCTTTCTCTGGATATACACTCAGGACTGGGACTACTGGATCATACAGTAGTTCTGTTTTTAGTTTTTTAACTAAAAAAACAACTTGTGTCTTGCATCGTTTAGTTTTGATTTGCTTTCCTCTAATAATTAGCAATGTTGAACATCTTTTCATGTGCCTATTGGCTATCTGTATGTCTTTGGAGAAATGTCTAGGTCTTCTGCCCATTTTCTGATTGGGTTGTTTGGTTTTTTGATATTAAGCTATATGAGCTGTTTATATATTCTGGAAATTAACCATTTGTCAGTAGTGTCATTTGCAAATACTTTCTCTAATTCCATAGGTTGTCTTTTCATTTTGCTTATGGTTTCCTTAAAAAAGGAATCAAGAACTATGCAAAAGTGTTTTAAGTTTAGCTAGGTCCCATTTGCTTATTGTTTCGTATATTTTTAGGCTCTTGGAATTATTTTGCGCAAATGTGTCTATTTCCTATCAGCTTTAAATTTCTGCTTTCAGCACTCCTGGCCTTATCTTATATATTAGATCAGCACTCAATAAATATTACTTGAGCTAATGAATACATTAACCTTAAAAGCTAGCATATTAACACTGCCTGTGCGGGAAGCATAAATGGTGAGTGAGGGTCAGAAGGAGCTTGTGCTCTGGGCCCTCCTGGAGCTACCCAGCCCCCCTGGATTTACCCAGGCCCCCCTGGAGCTACCCGGACCTCCTGGAGCTACCCGGCCCTCCTGCAGTACCCAGCCCCTGGGCCAGCTTCCGGGGCTGCCCTGGTTCTGGCTGCACCACGAGGAGCTGCCCCACCCGGACGACACCGCTGCACCCAGCTTATGTGCAGCCCGCAGTCTCCCCTCTCTGCCCCCAGAGCACAGTGTCTTGTGCCACTAAAACCAGAAAGTATGGTTTCTATTTCTAAACTCATAAGAAATATTTTTAGGACTGGTCCTCACTTCTTGCCCTCACCTGAGGCAGAGGTTCCTCAACAGATTCGCTTCCCAGAGACCCTCACCCAGCAGGTCTGCAGGTAGCCCAGTTTCACAGGGATCAATGCTAATTCTCTAGGTTTATGATCCTCTAACAGAGACTATTTAAACACAGAAGGACTCCTCTCCTGGGGAGCTCACAGAAATAACCCTTGCAGGTTATCCCAAAGCCACAATTGACTCTTGACAAATTCCTCAGTCTTCTTTTGCTTCAACAAATTCCTTCAGAGGATCCAGAGTGTGGACTGAAATAACACAGGGCCTCGGGAGCCACCCTGCAAGTGTGGGCAGCGACAGGACAGATGGTAAAGGGAAGTGTCTCCACATTTCGGGGGCAGGAGATCTTAATGGTTTCTAAAACTTAAGTTCATTAAGTCATTAGAACGTGCTGTTTGTTCCCACTTAGAAGCAGCAATAAGCAAGGATATAATTCATCCGCTAAAAATGTTCTCAAGCCCAAAATAGCTCTGTGGATGGACCCACACAACCCACAGTTCTAAGCTCGAGGGTGGGGCTGCAGCCAGAACCTCAGTCTTGTGCTAGTCAGGACCCCACCCGGCTCTGCTGTTTCTGCAGACCCACACCCCTGCCCCACCCACCGGGGGGCAGCAAGGCGCCGCCCCCAGCATGCTGTGACCACAGGCTAGAGTTCCCACCCTGGGGTGGGGCACCTAGGGTGGAGTCAGGGCCGGGGGCCTGGGGCTGGTGGGAAACGCGAATCACACCCCGCCAGAACCAACCGGAACCAACGGGGCTTGAACAGGCTCTGGGGGATTCCTACACAAGGTGACCTGTTTCTTCTGCTGCAAACTCCTCTGTCTCCAGGCCTGAGCACTCCCTTTCTCACCTCCCCCCGCCTCAAATTCCATCGGCAAACGCTCTTGAGGCCTCTGACCTCTGTGGGCAGTGACTTCTACACTCATCTTTAGCCTCTTTAGGAAAAGGAAGATGGTAAAAAAAAGCTTCCCAATGTTTATGCTCTGAAATCCTTAATCTGCCCTCTTGTTGCACCAGTTCATCTGGACTTAGGAAGTTCCTACCCACCTCCCAGCAGACAAACAGCCTCTGCTCCATCCTCCCACCCAGTCCTGGACATTAGGAGCATTCAGGGACCATCATCATAACCGCCCAGTGAGCCAAGAGACAAGAAGATGAGGGATTAACAGCATCAAACAGAGCAGCAGCAAACATTACCAGAGTGATTTCTCCACGATTTTGGTCCTGAAAACCTCCTCCTGGTCTAGGTTCACGGTGCAGTAACAATCACGCATCTTGTTTGGCCCCGGGTATGTGGGAAGGTTTTTGGCTTCACCTAAAAGTAAATGTAAATCTATCATCAGTTTTGCATGGAATTATTTAGTCTCCTAGTTAATCTCAGACACCTTTCCCAATGATGGGTTTATTCCACAGCAAGGCACCTGCTCACTTCTGTATATTCTGTACATTTTCTTGTCACCACCAGTCAAAGTGCTGAAGAAAAACCCATTTGTACTGTTACATGAAAGTGACATACATTAACCTCTAAAACAATGGATTCCTGTAAAAGTAGGGATCCATCAGAAATTAACGATTGCTTCCTTTTACCCACATTCAGTCAGTTCAGCTCAGTTGCTCAGTTGTGTCCAACTCTCTTGCAGCACGCCAGGCCTCCCTGTCCATCACCAAATCCTGGAGTTTACTCAAACTCATATCCATTGAGTCAGTGATTAGTCCCTTTAATATTTTTAATGTTTAAATCATTGTGTGTGTTAATCACTCAGTCGTATCCAACTCTTTGCGACCACATGGACTGTAGCCCACCAGGCTCCTCTGTCTATGGAATTCTCCAGGCAAGAATAGTGGAGTGGGTTGCCATTTCCTTCTCCAGGGGATCTTCCTAACCCAGGGATTGAACCTGCATCTCCTGCATTGCAGGCAGATTCTTTACCATCTGAGCCACCAGGGAAGACCTTAAATTATTAAGATACTCAGAAATTTAAAAATATCCTCTCAGTCACCTTTAAGGATACAGCTCAGCAGCATCCTCCGTTAACTACAGCACACTTGCACAATCAACCTCAAGAACTCTTTCATCTCACAAAACTGAAACTCTTCATCCATGAGACAACAAGCCCCATTTCCCCTCCTGCAGTCCACCTTCCAGCTTCTGTCTCTGTGACCCTGACGATCCAGGGACCTCACAGAAGTAGGATCACCATGTTTGTCCTTCTGGGTCCGGCTAATGTCACTCAGTGCCAGGTCCTCAAGGCTCACCCACGTCCTGGCCTGACTCAGTATTCCCTTCTTTCTCGAGGCTGACACTTTGCTTATCTATTAATCCCCAGGTCTCTTTTTATTCTGATTAATTTGATAGTATTAGGTCAAAGCTGGGGCAATAACCAAGGATCACAGAGTCGGGAACGACTGAAGTGACTCGGCGTGCACACACAAGCAACAGCGCAAGCGAGGAGAAATCCAGGGGACCAGCTGTGCCCCCACCTCCCCTGCGCGCCGGGAGAAAAGGCATGAGCTGCAGGCAGCCTGGTGCCACTAGCCCATGGCGCCTTTGACCCTGGGTCTGACTGGAGACCGCCGGCAAAGTCCCACCTGCTGGGCCCTCTGCCAGGAGCCGGGGTGAGCTTGCTGCGGGCCACCGTGGCCCTTTGCTTGCGGACCAAGTGGGAGCAGAGGGCGCTTCTCCTCCCAGGTAAGAAGGAAGGAAGCCCCTCAAGGAGCTCCTGCCTCCCAGGGGCCTCCTGTTCCCCAGACGCAGGGCCAGGAAGGGGGCCGGGTCTGAGAACCCAGCACTGCCGGAGCAGTCCCAGGCGGCGACACCTGCCAGTACCACCCAGGGGCCGCACCCCTGCCCTGGTTAGAGCTGACGGAAAAACAACAACAACAGAAACCAAACCGAAACCAGAGCAGAAGCTCCTCAGAGCTCGGCACCCAGAACGGCCACACCTACACCCCACAAACACATAGACTCTGCTCTCGGGGAAACACGCAGTTTGCAGCTTCCTGCCGCAGCCTATGACGGGCAGAGGCGAGTTTGCGAGCCCGAAGCCTCTCTTTCAAGCTTCTCATTAACGTCATCACTTGGGACGGAGGAGAGCAACAGGGTAAAGAAGTCATGCAATAACTGAGTGGATGTTTTCTGTGCCAATAAATCGAGGCTTCCTAGCAGCCCTGGCTGCAACCTGAACACACACACCTGCTACACTCCGGGACCTGCCACACACGTGCCTGGGACCCCAGGCCTCCCCTCTGGGCCTCAGCTTCTCAACCATGAGGCGTGAGGACACACGTCCCAGGTTCCTCTAACTCAAAAGCTTCTGTGGGGTTTTCCTTCGCGAATCGTCAGGGAATCATCAGTGACTCAGATGGTGAAGAAAAAGAAATAACCAATGAATGTTTTCCTACGATTACCCCCAAGACACCTTAATGCTGCAAGGCCCTGGACACCAGGCCACTCCAGGGGAGCTGGGCATAGAAACACAGACAAGCTGAGAAGGGCACGTGATTCCAGGCAGCTTCCAGCCCCGTCATGAAGTGTCTAGAGACAGATTTTCCGTAGGCTCCCGGCAGACGCAAGCACTCACATGTACTCACGCAGGTGCATGCAGACCGTGACGAAACGCATCCGAAGGGGCTCATCAACTTCCTGCCCGCTTCCCGAACTGGTGCTCACAAACCTTCCCCCGAAACCACTCTGACTTCCCTGCTGACACTGCTAGGATGTGACTGCACTTCCTGTTGGAATTTTTTTTGCAAGAAATGAGATATTTAGCTGCAAGTGCCTGTGTTTCTTAAAAGTAGAATTAAATCTTTTTTTAAAAGTTTTACTGGAGATGACATCTAGTAGAAGACACAGGACGGGGATTATTCCTGTTTATTCTCCCAAGAACCTCAAAACACAAGCAGCAGCAGTTGACACTTCTCTTCAAGAACAGAAGAGATGGAAGTGCCTTCTCTGAACAACCAGTTAAAACTGTGAGATGCTGAACATGGCCTCCCACCCCCCACCCACCCCCACGGTTACAGAAACATCCTGGTTGCTATGACAATGGCAACATCAGAGACCAGCCAGGCGCCGAAGCCAACGTTAACAAGTGACTCAGGCCAGGAGGGCTGGGAGGAGGCCCGTACCCCGTCTGGCCACGTCGTCCGCCTGGCCCTGCACCTGGGGACCCTGCCATGGCCACCGGGCAGGGGCAGGTCCCAGCCTCACTAGAGCAGAGGACGTCTCTTCCATGTGCGTCCCTTATGCCACAGGCTGGAGGTCGTTTTCTTCCTGACTACAGATTATGGGGCCTTTTCGCCCCTCAAATGGGAAGATAGATGTGTTCTTTTTTCTCATGTGTGGAGCTGTTTACCTAAGAAGGCAAAGTCACGCCTGGTATTCAGTAGGTGCTGATTATTTGATAAATGAATGGATAGATAAATGCCTGCAAAGAAAAAGGAAAGTAAACTCTGGTTTCATTCTAAGAGCCAAATAAGTCACATTACCAAACGTGTTCCTCCTGTTAACCAAAATGTATGCTGTTCACCCAGAATGACTATCTGCTGGTGGCTTTGATTCAGACAGCAAATTTGTGCCAAGTATCATCTCTGAATGCTGAATTTACTGACAGACATAAAAGGCGGCACCTAAAAACCAGTAATAAATCAGCGCTGAAGCAGCAAACCTGTTTCTAATTAAGGTGTCAGGCCGTAGTTCCTGGCCACTGCTGGCCACGCTCCCCACACACTCCAGGTGATCACAGTCAGAAAGACCCAGCCCCGCAGACAGCTAGTCTCCACCCTGACCTGGCAGAGGGGCGGGCCTCCTGCAGGCCGTGGGTGGTCTCCACAGCGCCACCAGGTTCAACCCAGACCAGGAAGCCCACTGCCCTGCAGAGGCAGCAGTGTGGTCTGCACCCCAAGAGGCTGTTGCTGGTCCAGCCGGCCCGGCCCCCACGTGCACAGGTTCCCCTCTGAGCGGCTCTGACCTCGGCTGCTGCCCTCACCCGCCCCCGGGAAGACTCTCAGCAGTGAGCCGGGGCCTCAGGTCTGCCGTGTCCACGAAGCACGGGGCCTCTGCTCTGCCCTACTATGTAGGCTGGCCCTCAGCTTAGTCACAGGCCAAAGTCTGTAACCACATGTGACCAGCCACAGGAGCTCCAGACCCTTGTCCTGTGGAGACAGCTCTCCCCAGCCCTCCCCACGCACAGGGGCAGGACCTGGTGAGGGAGACACAGCCCCCGGGCTCCCGTCTCTCTCTCCAAGTACTTATGGGGCTATGGAGTCTGGTGGCCAGTGTAGCTCCTTGTAACTACATAAAAGCCCATTTCCCGCCAGAGATCAGTTTCATGATGAAAACACTCTTTCCTTGAATATGTTTTTAACTGCCTTGCTATTTTCTTTTAACACTTGATATTAAATAGAACAGCTTCTCAGATGGTTCAGGGGTAAAAAGACCCCGCCTGCCAACGCAGTAGACACACACAACAGACGCAGGTTGGTCCCTGGGTCGGGAAGATGCCCTGGAGGAGGAAACGGCCCCCACTCCAGTATTCCTGCCTGGGATATTCCATGGACAGAAGAGCCTGGTGGGCCACAGTCCATGGGGTCGCAAAGAGTCGGACGACTGGGCGACCAAGCACACACACACATTAAAAGAATTAACATCCCCACAATCAGATGAGGCTAGATTTCTGAATCAAGTTACAGGCAGCCTCCTCTAGCACAGGCTGATTTACAAGCCAGGAGGGCTCTGGGCTGAGCTGCCTAACCCAGAGCACACGGCCAAGGTCCTGACCCAGAGCAGCAAGGTCAGCTCCAGGTACTGGCGGGGGGGGGGGGGGGGCATACCTAGGACGCAGGAAGCCTCGAAAACCTGCATCTCAGATCTCCCCCAATTTCCAAAAAGAACTGGTGACAACATGAAAGACAAGAATAAAATAAGGCAGCTAGAAGGAAGTTAAAGTCTAACATATGGTAGGAGAGAGGAGAGCTACGCCTTCCAGCCCACTGTGAGTGGGTCAATGACACACCCGGGCACTGAGTCCCCAGGAGCTAATGAACACGTGGAGATGGCAGAACACACAATTCTCAGGAGTTACCTAAGAATGAAACACACCAGCTCCAAGAGGAAACACTGTGAAAAGACAGGCAGGCATGTCTTCCGAGAAACTGTTACAGAAGATGCAGAAACGCCCTCCGGGGCTCTTCTCTGCTCTTGGGTGGGGACGCAAGTGATGACCTGTGATGAGCGCGCAGCACAGGAGGGGCCAGTGATGGCCCCCCCCAGGCAGCCAGGAGCCCCGGGAAGAGACCGATGGGGCTCTGTTCCCT